AACAATGACCAGGTATCCAATGTTTCTTGTGATATATATTTATTAAACAAAAATTTAATTCGCTAATCTAAATATTACCAGACATGACATTTTTTTGTATTTCAAGAGCATGTGGACCAATATTGAAAATTATCTGATGATTGCTCTACACAACACACAAATAATTCTTCACAGAACACGCACAACAATTTCCATTGTGATTTTGCAGAGTACAGATGAAAATAATGTACTAGTATATATAATCATGATGAGTGAATGCCAATTTTAATTTTAAACTTACCTTCCACAAAAAATATAGGTTGGCAAAATTATTCCCTGAGCTGTACGTAAAAAGGTTGGTCTTGAAGGTAAGTCCATATTCTCGCTGTAGACCTTGCTTTTGTCACCTGGCAACATTGTATTTGCACACACAAACTCGAAATCCTCTGTACTTCAGAGTAAATCAACGAATACATCCAACTTTTTTTCACAGGGTTTCAGACTGTGTCACAAAGCAAGGTAGTTCCATGATGTGGACAGCTTCTATGGCATCTTGAACCTACAAGAAACTAAGTAAAAACAGCAATAAATATTATAACTAACATATGTGTATTCCAAGTTATTTGTTCTTCTTCTTATTTTTGTTGTTCTTGTTATTAGATTATTGTTATTAGAAAAGTAAAATTATTTAGTAGGTGTATCATTGTCATAAATTTTGAATTTTTTCACTTACCTCTGTGTTTTGAAGCTGGTGTAGTCCTTTTCTCTGATAGGTATTGACAGTATTGCTGAAGAGTTTTTGCAAGCTCTTCCGATTCATCTTTGATGTCATGCCACTCTGATTTTGATATCCAAGCCTTTAACATAAAATTCATGATAAATAATATCTATATCATATTCGACAAACTGTACCAAAGTATATTCATGAACTGAATATGACTACGTGTAAAATAATTACACAAATCTGTTTTTCTTTTCTTTTTTATTGTATACATGTCGCTTCTAAAATGTTGAAGACGATTTTGTGCATGGGATTTTATATGCTCTTCCTGTAAGTTTTGCATACGTGTTTATGCTGATCTGGCAAGATGAATCCCTGGAACTGATCCCAGAATTATGAAAGTTTACGGAGCTCTCACAGAATGATCTCTATGACAGTCACAAATTTGTCACCCAGAGTTTTTGTTTCTTTAGTTCATCCAAGGCCCAACTCTTGTATCCACTGAACTATTGAATTGTAAGCGATATCTTGAATTAGATTGAGATTGGTCTTGAAAAGCCAGCCATACTTGTAGATTCTGTGCACGTCTCATAAATTCAAAGTTATTGTTTATTTCTTTATTTATTATTTTATTTTTTTCACCCACTTGGCCCATTTGAACAATGATCTCTCATCAAACTTCTTATCTTTATCCTCGAGCAGGGTGAAGGAGGATTGCTAATCTTCTAACACCTTTGGTGATTAATAGTTTTTTCTCTAAACTATTAACTTTACACCAAAATAACTGCCATAGACATAGACAGGGTGCTGTGCACTAGTACTGGGCCCAAGAACCTCTTGTTGA